CATTAAAACTGTTTTTGAGTAATGGCTGAAACAGTGTGTCGTTGATAAGAGCATTCTTGACATGAAATTTTCAATCATTTGGTTAGAATTTTGTTGTATGTGATTTGTTTTTTGGAACACGTTCAAATAAAAAACATTTTTATATCAGACTGTTAACAACGAAGTGAAGCCGCGGATTCTTAAAATAAAATCAGTGACCTTTGCGGAAAAAATAAAATAAATCGCGTGCTTCGTAAACTATCATTTAAAATAGTGGACAAGTGATGTAGATAAAAAATTCGATTTTTTTAAATTTATGTGTGTATTAATTTTATAAAATAACACGTTCCTGTAACTGTAGTTTATGAATTAGCCTTGAATTTGTTATTATTATAATTTTTATTATTTAATATTTCTCGTAATTGAGACATGTTGATTTATTAAAGCATTGTATCTGAAGGATCCGGGGTTCGATCTCCAATTTATATATTTTTTTTCCTTACCCTGTGAGTGTTGATTTTAATTTGATAATTTTTCGAAGAAACTGAATTTTGTATTCCAATCAAAGAAACAATCCTAAATTGTGTCCGTCGGGCATCTCCGTTTATGGTTTCTTAGAATAATGCGCTTGTATCAATGCAAAATCGAGTCCTCGATGGTGGAAGAGTCGTTAACAAATCAGTCTTGTCTCAGCAGGTACTAGCCCCGCCCACTCACCCTCTCTTTTCTTAGAGGGTATGGAGTTTGCCAAAATCAGTCTTATTTGAGCAAGTACTAGCCCCGCCCACCCGCCCGTATTTTTCCGAGGATATGTCATTTGCCTAAATACGAGTTATTTTAGCAAGTACTAGCAGGTACGTCCAGATCTTTGTAAAAAAATCAAAATCATAAAACAACATTTTGTAATCCTGATTTAATCAGGAACTGAAAAACCTAATTCTTTGAAATCTTGGAGATGTTTTAAAGTTATCATAAGCATGGTAAATTTTTGATCAAAATGTATTTGCTCATCCTCCTAAAAAATTTGAACGGGCCGAAGCCCAAAATTTTAGCAATAGAGGAAATGAGGTCCAAAAATTAATCTTTTCCGATCTGTCAAATTTTTAGTGTGAAGACTAATTTTGGAGTACAGAATTAATTTCTGCCATCAGTTGTTGAATCAGTTCCATTTCAACTCAAATCTTGTTTCAATCCACATCCCAATAAACATTTTTTGAGTTTACGGATCCACCATTTCAAAACGGTTCAAGATTTCGACTTGAAGTTTGTACCGTTCGATTCCTTGGAGTTTTCTAGTCGCGCCTAATGATTTTTGAGCCGGATAAGTTACCCGTTCGGACCTGAGGGATCGATTAAGCAAACCATGTCATTTTTTTGGGTGCTATCATCAAAAAAGCAAAAAAAAATTAAGAAAGTCCGTAGGGCAATTCTGAATTCGCATTCGTGTTGAGGAGATTCAAATTAGTAAGGAGACTAATTCTGACAACGCTGTGACCCTAATTAACCGAGATATTTTAAACGAGCCGAAGTCCAAAATTTTCGCAATAGAGGAAAATCAGGTCAAAAAATTAATCTTTTCCGGTCTGCCTGATTTTGAGTGTTAAGACTAATTTTGGAGTGGAGAATTCATTTCTGCAATCAGATGTTGAATCAGTTCCATTTCAATTTAAATCGCGTTCCAGTCAAAGTCTCCAAAAATATTTTTTGTGTTTACGGATTCACCATTTCAAAACGGTTCAAGATTTCGACTTGGGGTTTGTACCACTCGATTCTTTGGGGTTTTCTAGTCGCGTCTAATGATTTTTGAGCCGGATAAGTTACCAGTTCAGATCTGAGGGACCGGTTAAGCAAAACATCTCATTTTTTTGGGTGCTATCATCGAAAAAGCAAAAAAAAAAAAAATCAGGAAAGTCCGTAGGTCAATTCTGAACCAGAATTCGTCTTCAGGAGATTCGAATTAGTAAGGAGACTAATTTTGAGAACGCTGTGACCCTAATTAACCCAGAAATTTTAAACGAGCCAAAGTCCAAAATTTTCGCAATAGAGGAAAATGAGGTGAAAAAATGGATCTCTTCCGATCTCCTTGATTTTGAGTGTCAAGACTAATTTGGGAGTGCAGAATTCATTTCTGCCATCAGTTGTTGAATCAGTTCCATTTCAACTGAAATCGCGTTTCAATTAAAATCTCAAAAAATATTTGTTCAGTTTACGGGTTCACCATTTTAAAACGGTTCAAGATTTTGATTTGGGGTTTGTACCCTTCGATTCCTTGGAGTTTTCTAGTCGCGTATAATGATTTTTGGGTCGGATAAGTTACCAGTTCGGACTCGAGAGACCGATGAAGCAAGCCATGTTAATTTTTTTGAGTGCTATTATCAAAAAAGCGAAAAAAAAATCAGAAAAGTCCGTAGGACAATTCTGAAACAGAATTCGAGTTCAGAGTATTCGAATTAGTAACGAGACTAATTTTGAGAAAGCTGTGACCCTAATTAACTAGGATTGTTTGAACGGGCCGAAGTCCAAAATTTTCGCAATAGAGGAAAATGAGGTGCAAAAATGAATCTCTTTTGATCTCCTTGATTTTGAGTGTCAAGATTAATTTTGTAGTGCAGAATTCATTTTTGCCATCAGTTGTTGAATCAGTTCCATTTCAACTCAAATCGCATTTCAGTTAAAATCTCAAAAAATATTTGTTGAGTTTACGGGTTCACCATTTCAAAACGGTTCAAGATTTTGAGTTGGGGTTTGTACCCTTCGATTCCTTGGAGTTTTCTAGTCGCGTCTAATAATTTTTGACCCGGATAAGTTACCAGTTCGAACTCGACGGACCTATGTCATTTTTTTTGGGTGCTATCATCAAAAAAGCAAAAAAAAATCAGGAAAGTCCGTAGGTCAATTCTGAATGCGAATTTGTGTTCAGGAGATTCGAATTAGTAAGGCGACTAATTCTGAGAACGCTGTGACCCTAATTAACCGAGATATTTTAAACGAGCGGAAGTCCAAAATTTTCGCAATAGAGAAAAATGAGGTGCAAAAATGAATCTCTTCCAATCTGCCTGATTTTGAGTGTCAAGACTAATTTTGGCGTGCAAAATTTATTTTTGTCATCAGTTGTTGAATCAATTCCATTTCAATTGAAATCGTGTTTCAATCAAAATCCCAAAAAAATATTTTTTGAGTTTACGGATTTATCATTTCAAAACGGTTCAAGATTTCGACTTGGAGTTTGTACCACTCGATAAATTGGAGTCTTCTAGTCGTGTCTAATAGTTTTTGACCTGGATAAGTTACCAGTTCGGACTCGAGGGACCGCTAAATGTGCAAAATATGATGAGTCTATACTTATGATTTATCACTGCATTAATATTTTTTAAATTTGCTTATACAAGGTGTCTCAGATTTAAAAATTTAACTCGTTACAATGGAAACTTGCAATTTAACACCTTTTAAATTTAACAAGTTTTCACAAGTTTAATAGGGGCAAAATCAGTCTTACCTTAGCAAGTGCAAGCTCCGCCCACACGCCATCTATTTTCTCAGAGTTTATATACATAATTTGCCAAAATCAGTCTTATCGTAGCAAGTACTAGCCCCGCCCACCCACCCTCTATTTTCCTAGAAGCTATGGCGTCTGCCAAAATCAGTCTTATTTGAGCTAGTACTAGCCCCACCCACCCGCCCCTATTTTTTCAGAGGATATGACATTTGCTAAAATAAGACTTATCTTAGCAAGTACTAGTAAGTACTACCCTCTGCGAAAATAAAGGGCGAGTGGGCGGGGCTAGTACTTCCTCGCACAAGTCTTATTTTGGCAAATGACATATCCTCTGAGAAAATAGGGGGCGGGTGGGCGGGCCTATTTCTCGCTAAGATAAGATTGACTTTGACAAATGACACACTCTCTAAGAAAGTAAAGGGTGGGTGGGCAGGGCTAGTATATGCTAAGATAAGACTTATTACGGCAAATGACATATCTTCCAAGAAAAGAGTGGGCGGGTGGGCGGGCCTAGTACTGATTTTGCCCCTATTAATCCTGTAAAAACTTATTAATCTAAAGATGTTAAATTGCAAACTTCCATTGTCCTGCTTTATAAAAAACGAAGGTCGTATTTTTAATTTATAATTGCATATACTCGACGACAGAAAAGAACTAATTAATGAAGCAAATAATTGATCAAATCAAGAATGGAAAAATTCACAATTGTATACCAACATTTTACATGTTCTTAATATAAGTGGTATTCAAGAATACGATATTGAAATTGTATTGAAAGAATATTTTTTCCAAATGACATCGAGCTTTTCGTGGGAATACATATATTAATTTTGATATGTACAATGTGTCACTAACTACGACGTAACTGTATTTCCAACATTTGAATAAGTCGTTTCTGAGATAAACTAAAATTTGTGCGCTTTTTTAAAGGCATGAATGGATAAATTCTGTCAACGTTTTCCGTAGTCTTAAAGAATGCTTAAAAAACTAATCGGTTCGCTAGTTCAGGAGATTATTTACACAGATAATCATCAAAACTAGCGAAAATTACAGTAAATTATTAGACAATAAATTTCCGGAAGTCAGACAACAGACAGAAACGGGAAACTTTCATTTTCTTATTTGACGACTCGTGAAACGACAGACTTTGTAATTTAATTTTTGTTAATTTTTTTTGTAAATTGTGGTTGGTATTAAATTTTTCATGATAATGTTACTCACTTTGGGTGCTAGTGTTCGGAAGTGTGAGAAAGTCGACATGTACCAGAGTAATTATTCCAGTTTCTGGAATTTAAGATTACTGAGATGATACGAATTTCTATTCCGACTGAATTTTTTATTTATAAATTAATGAAGAAAGTGTTACAGTCTTGTTCTCTCCTTCGTTCTGCCTCCTCTTTCGCTTTGTATCAATTTAGAAAATTAAAATGTTCACGCTTCAGAAATTAATTAATTAATTAGTAATTGCATATTATGGCAGTTAAAACTACACATAGGTGTGAATTGAAACACAAAAAGAATAATATACATCGAATATCTTATCATTTTATTTATGTAGTAGGTAAATAAATAAATAATAATTTGCAATATCTATTATACGTTTTTTACAAAACATCAATAGATACTCAAAAGTACATAGCTCCATTAATTATGTTGTTAGTTTTTTTACAAGACTAGTAAAATACCAGAATAATAGACTCAGTGCCCATAAATTACCACCAAGTATCTAAACCCTTTTCCCCAAGTCGACGACAACTTTATTTTGGCGAACCTCTTTCCAACACCACCTGACACCAGTTCGGCCTTTGAATTCAGCCCATCGTAAAACTGATTAAAGGCCCTAATTGCAGAAATCGTCTCGTGTCTTCCATAACTTCCAGGAAGATCAGCGGGATACTGTATAATTTTTTCTCTGCCAGACCACCATCGTCCCGTTTTCCAGTAAATCTAAATCTTTAGTCAAAATTAAAGCGCCATTTCCACCTAAACATACCTGTTTAAACAGACGATGGTCCATGGGATGGATTTTCCCGACGATTAAATCACCATTGGAGTTGGTCTGGTTGAAGTTCTGGTCACCTGTTTTGTTCAAAAGAGGATTATTGTACCCAGTGTGATTCCTGGGTTCTGTTTTGTTGTTGATGGTCGCATTGTGCAGGATTTGCACCGTTGAGATGTTGAGCGTCGGGATGAGGACGTGGGCGGGCACGTAATGGACTTGGGCTTGCACCCAAAGGAAAAGTGCGAATAGCGATAGCACCAAAACTAGCACCTTCATTGTCGTTCGTTGATGGTTAATTGAAGGGTGGCGTCAAGTCACGGGGTTTTATAACAGGCAATCGTGTCATAGATAAGAAGTGCAAATTTGCTTTTAAACGTCATTTGGGGGATGTCACTGATTGTTCAAACTAATGAAAAACTAATGCAAAAATGGGAAGACCCAGCAGAAGCAACGGGAAAATTTCATTTATTTGTTTTATTTTTATAGATAACACGTGGCTTTACGGTGCAGTTGTAAACATTGAGTCGTGTGCAATAAATAAATGTCTTGCAAGGTGAAATACACTCCGCGCTTCTGGAATAAACACCGTTATAGTCAATTTATCGTTTCTCGAAGCGCGCTTTTAGATTTGTTAGAAGATGTATATTTTTGTTGAGAACGTACATTTCAGTTTTACGTTCCTGCGCGTTCGGCGAGTATCATTTTGAATTTAGAGCGCAGCGTTTCCGGTAAGGCGGTTTTCGGCGTATTCGTTTGAGTAGGAGTTGGAAATTTTGTTTTGATCTTTCCTTTAATTCGTGCGTGGTGGGCGAAGTTCGTTGTTTTGACTTTGTCTTAATCCGACGCATTGTTTTGCGGGAAGCGAAAGGAAAGTACTTGGAAAAATTTAATTACGAGAATGCCGTATTCATTAAGGAGCGGGGGCATTGTTTTTGTTCTTAAGAGTAAACAAATTGTTTAGCACAAAACTCGCTTATTAGAATCGCAGATTTTTATCTTTTTTGGTATGACAAGGTTTTAAGTGGTTATTATTTTCGACTAGAAATTCACAAGTGTTGTGTATAAAAAGTAAAGTACATAAAAAGTAATTCTTTGTGTGTTATATTTCACAAAACAAAATATTTTTGTTATAATACGTACGTCAATTTGACATTCATGTCCAAAAACAAAATAGATTTAAAAATGCGAAAAATAAGACACATTCATTCTGAGCAATATTAAAGTCGTCTGTGAACTTATAAAATGATGAAAACGTCTGTATAATATGGGAATGCTCACAAAAAAACATTTGACATTACTGTTATTAATACATACTTCTAATTTAGTCCTATGAAAATTTTTAACGCAGAAAAAAAACCTAATTTATATTGCGAAATATAATGAAATATGAGTGGGTTTTAAAATTTTACCAAAAAATTTTAAGCTCTGAAAGCCTAAATAACTAGAACACTCTAAAGAGAAATAAATTAATATCAGTGGTTATTCTCGTTCTTAGTTACTCTCTGTTTTCGCGTTTCGTTGTCAATGTATTCAAATACAAATGTACATCTTTATGGATTGTGCCACATATGATAAACGTTTTGTACACTATTTATTACTCCTTGATCTAATTGGGAAATAGGTTTCAACATTCGTGAATTTAAGCAACTTTGCAAAACACTTCATAGATAATCAGATAATAGTAGTGAATTAGAAGTTACGTGCAATAAGTGAAAATCCAGTGTTTTCTATCTGCTTACATTTTGCGTAGTAAAGGTTATTTGAATTTGATAAAATAATGTACTCCTGTACTCGTGGTTTATGAATCCGCTCTGATATTCATCATAATTAATTTATGATTTTTTTATACACTATTTCCCACGCGTTTCATGTAACCGATATGCAGCAACAAATACATAATAATAATAAAAATACATGAAATTTTGCTGTTTCAAATTTTATAAATATCTTTGTTGCGTTTTTTTCACTTTTTTTATCTTATTTTTTTGTCACTTTTTGTAGTCACCTTTTGTCTTGATTTTTTTGTAGAATTGTTACATTTTTGTTCTTTTTTTTTGTCGCATTTTTTGTTTGTCGTATTTTTTGGCTACTTTCTTTTAGTCGCTTTTTTTAACCCCTTCTTTATAGCCTTTTTTGTAATCGTTTTCTTTCCACATTTTCTTTAGAATTTTTTAACTCGGTTTTTCCTTTTTTTATACCCTTTTTCCTCATTTTTGTTACGGTTTTTCTGGGGGTTTTGTCCTTGTCCTTTTTGTTTTAATTTTCTTTTTGTAACTTTTTTGGCGTTTGTTGTAGACATCGTTTTTATGTGGTTTTGTTTAATTAATTTTTGTAGTCACCTTTTTCTGTTGCGTTTTGTGGGCCTTGTTGAGTTTTTTGTTGTTTTTGTAGGCTTTTTGTCGTTTTTTCAACCGTTTTTTTGTTTTCATTTTTGTGACTTTTTTACTCCCTTCTTTTAGTCAGTTTTTGTAGTAACCTTTTTATTATTTTTTTGTGGACTTTTTTATCGTGTTGTTTTGTGTTTGTCGCCCCTTTGACTTTTTTTAAGTTGCATTTTCTAACCCCTTCTTTATTGCTTTTTTTGTAGTAATCTTTTTTTCGCAGTTTTGTCTTTTTTTATTATTCTTTTTTCCGTCTTTTTGTCATTCTTTTTTCGCATTTTTATGGATTTTCTTTGCTCTGGTTTCATTTTTTGTCGCCTGTTTTTGTAGATTTAGTAGATTTCGTCTTTTTGTAAATATTCAATTTTTTTTTAGTTTTTTTTCGGTGATTTTTGTAGCCGTCGTTTTTTTGTGGTTTTGTTTTGGCGATTTTTGCATTTATCTTTTTCTGTGGACCTTCTTGTTGTGATTTTATTTATCCCTTTTTATCGTCTTTTTGTCGCTTTTGTAGAACTTTTTGATCTGTTTTTGTTTTTTTTATTTAGCGTTTTTTATTTTCATTCTTTGTGAAATTTTTGTTGATTTTTTGTTTTCTTCTTTCACATTTTTGTCGCCTTTTTGTAGATTTTTTGCCCTTTTTATTTCATTGTCTTTTATTGTTGCATTTTTTTGTCACCTTTTTTGGCCCCTTTCTGTTTGTCGTTTTTTCGTAATTTTTCTGTAGTCGTCTTTTTTTTGACTTTTTTGTTGCGTTTTTTTTTTGTCTTTTTATCGCTACTACAAAAAGTGACAAAAAACACTTTGTAGTCGTATTTTTGTGGATTTTTGATTGCGTTTTTTTAATTGTTTTTGTCTCTTTTTGTAGTTTCCTTTTTTGTCAATTTGTCTTGTGAAATTTGTCATTTTTTTGTCCTCTTTTTTGTTTGTCGCCCTTTTTTTAATCGCGTTTTTTGTCTCCAAGCCAATAAAGGCTTTTTTGTAGTCTTGTTTTTTACGCATTTTCTCTGGAATTGTTTTGAGGTGTTTTTTCTCTTTCTTTTACCCTGTTCTAGTTATGGATTTTTCGTTTTCTTGTCGCCTTTTTTTGTAGACTTGTCTTTTTTTAACTTTCTTTTTTGTTACTTCTTTGGCGCTTTTTTTGTGGTTTTGTTTAGTGAATTTTTGTAGACACCTTTTTCTGTTATGTACTTTTTTTGTATACCTTCTTGTCTCTCTTTGTTTTCATAGGCTTTCTTGAGAACTTTTTGGTCGCTTTTTTCGCCTTTTTTGATTCTTTTCATTTAGTCGCTTTTTTGTCGCAGTTTTTTGGTCCCCTTTTTTAGTCATTTTTTGTAGTTTAGCCCTTTTTCTAATTTTTTTGTCCTCACCTTTACCATTTTTTGCTGTCTTTTTTGTGAACTTCTTGGTTGCTTTTTTCGCCTTTCTTTGATTCTCTTCATCTAGTCGTTTTTTTTTGGTGTATTTTTTTTAGTATTTTTGTGTAGTAGCCTGTTTCTCATTTTTTATGTTTATTTTGTCCTCTTTACCATTTTTTGTGCACTTTTTTTGTAGCGTTTTTTTTGTGTTTGTCGCCCTGTTGACTTTCTTTAGTCGTAACCTCTTCTTTGTTGCATTTTTTTTGTAGTCATCTTTTTTTCGCAGTTTCTCTATACATAATTGATTTGACGCATTTTTTCCCTCGTTTTGTCGTTCTTTTTTCGCATTTTTATGGATTTTCTTTGTCCGCTGGTTTCATTTTTGTTGCCTGTTTTTATAGATTTTGTCTTTCTTTTAATTATTCTTTTTTTATTATTTTTTCGGCGGTTTTTGTAGCCGTCGTTTTTTGTATTTTTGTTTTTAGCAATTTTTGTATTCATCTTTTTTTGTTTCATTTTTCTGTGGACCTTGTTGTGCTTTTTTGTCTCTTTATCGTCTTTTTTTCGTTTTTGTAAAATTTTTTGATCTGTTTTTGTAGGTTTTTTTGCAGTCTTTTTTTTATTTAGCGTTTTCTATTCTTATTTTTTGTCACACTTATTGTCACCATTTTGACTCTCTTCTTTTACTCGCTTTTTTGTCGCGTTTAATAAACCTTTTTTTGCCATTTCTTGTAGTGAACTTTTTTCTCATTTTTTGTGGAATTTTTGTCGATTTTTTGTCCACTTTTCCATTTTTGTCGCCTTTTTTTGGATTTTTTGTCATTTTTATTTCATTGTCTTTTCTTGTTGCATTTTTTTGCCACTTTTTTAGATCCTCTTCTGTTGGTCTTTTTTTTGTAATTTTTCTGTAGTCGTCTTTTTTGTCGCGTTTTTTGTCTTTTTTTTATGACAAGTAAGTAACAAAAAAGGACTATTTGTAGTGGTGTTTTTGTGGATTTTTTCGTTGCGTTTTTTATCTTTTTTTAATCGTTTTTTGTCACACTTTATAGTCTCCTTGTTGATTTATCTTTGAAATTTGTGTCGCTTTATCGCCCAATTTTTTTGTAGTATTTTTTTTGTGTTTTTCCCCCTTTTTGACTCCCTTCTTTTAATCGCGTTTTATGCATTTTCTCTGAAATTGTTTTGACGGGTTTTTTCTCTTTTTTCACCCAATTTTTGTTACGAATATTTCACATTTTTTGTCGCCTTTTTTTTGTAGACTTTTGTCTTTTTTTTAATTTCCTTTTTTGTTACTTTTTTGACGCTTTTTTGTGTGGATTTGTTTTGTGAATTTTTGTAGTCACCGTTTACGTTTACTTTTTTGTGGACCTTCTTGTCCCTCTTTTTTTGTTTTCATGGCCTTTATTGGGAACTTTTTGGTAGCTTTTTTCGCCTTTTTTGACTCTCTTCATTTAGTCGCTTTTTTTGTCGAATTGTTTAGTCCCGTTTGTAGTAATTTTTTGTAGTGGCCTTTCTTCTCATTTTTTATGTTTTTTTCTTCTCTTCTTTACCATTTTTTTTGTTGAATTTTTTGGAAGCTTTGATTTCCTTCTGTTGGTCCTTTTTTATCGTCTTTTTTGTTTTTTTTTTTGTAATCGCCTTTTTTCTAATTTTTGTGTCTTCTTTTTATCGCCTTTTTAGTGACCTTTTTTGTTGTCTTCTTTTGACTCCCATTTTTGTTGTGATTTTTTAATCCCTCTTTTTGTCTTCGCACGTTTTTTTTTGTAGTTTTTTTAACCACACCTATACCATACTTCTACACCTAGTTTTAACATGATTGTCATACCTGTTTTTGTTTTAAACTTTAATTGTCATCATAAAAAAGTTTAGAAACTGGATTTGTTTGATTGTACTCCAGGTTCGAGAGAAGTTACGTTTAAACAACCTTAAACCAATTTTTCTATATTATATTTGATTGAAAAGTTGCACATTTCTAAAGAGTCGTTAAGCCAACGATACGACGCAGTTTTTAAAATTTTGACACTTATCAAACTTTTAAAACAGCAATCAAAACTCCATTTGTAGGAATTTACAATTGCTAAGGTAAATAAAGTTGAAATTGCTGTAAGTTTTCCACTTTTCATAGGTTACCACGTGTACGACATATATAAATATGTATCGCAAAACATCAGGTTTTCCCGTGTATGTATAAAAGTTACATTTACGTTGCATAATTAATTCATCAGTTTACTTAGTATGACACTTTGTAGATTTAAGTGAGTGACAGTGACTTCCAGTTTGCTGCACACATTAATTTTTCATAAATCAGGCAGTACATTAGGACGTAACACACTTACATTGCGTTTCTTTCAAAAGTCCAAATAAATCTGTTGTGTTTATATTTAAGACAAACTTTAAATCACTATAAATTTCAAGCGGGATTGGTGGAACGAAATTTTGAGATGACGTCAATAATTCCTCGGATTGAATAGGTGGATAAATTTTGTTTTACTATCTATGTGATACTGATAAGCATAAAGTAATACACCGAAAATTTCAAGGCAATCAGTTCCGGAGATTATCCGCCTTTAAAATCACCCACGTACGCTTGACTAACGATAAACAAACGACAGACATGTGACAGACAAACGACAAACAGATGACAGACAGAACGGAAGCAAAACACCAACATTTTCGTATTTGAATAGCTTAGAAACATCGAGAAAACATTACTATTTTTTTTGCATCAGTCAATAGGAGTACTGTTAATCGAATTAGCGTGATGATGATTACGCGATTAATCTCCTCTTTGACTGACTCCAAGCATCCATAAATCCGCTACTTTAACATTCAATCATATTAAAAAAAAATAATCGATTTTTTAATTATGTTTGGCCATAAATTTTTCCCACCCATAAAGAATTCTATTAATTCGATATTTCTTTGTTTTAGGTAAGTGCCCGTGAGCTTCCATGAATCACCCAATTTTTCCCCGAAGAAATTACACCGCTTATAAATTCATCAGACTGCGACCTTCGTTCGCCCAGCAGTGCAATTTTGTTTAATCTCCATCTAAACAAGTGTGTTTTTCTTGGTTCGCGGAAAATAATATTTATTAAAAAAGTAAGTATTTTACTGTTGCCAAGAGTATATTTACTTTGTAACTTGCGACTGTATAAATATTGGAATTTTATTATTACAAAAGTTCAGTGCTTCGACTAGCGTCCAAAAATTTGCACAAGGTATTCGAAGCCTTTGTTCCAAGGAGACGACAGTTTTATTTTTACGTATCTATAACCGACACCACCGGACGAGATCTTCGCCGACGAATGCAGTCCATCTAGGAATTTATTGTAGATTCTTATCGCTGTAATTGTTTCTTGTCTGTTTACGCCATATTTTCCTAAATCGTGCGGGTATTCGATACTTTTCTCACGTCCGGACCACCAGCGACTTTCTTTACGATACGTCTAAAATAATAACACAATTAAATGATATTCGCATAGTTTGAAAAAGAATGTAGTACCTGATTGAACAATAGGCGATCCAAGTACCCAATTTGACCCACTATCACGTCCCCATTGTGCGTGGTTTGGTTCCAGGTGTGGTTGCTTACAGGAGGGACCCATTTGGGATCGCTTCGTCTAGGTCTGTAAATGGTACCATTCCATCGAGAGGTGTTTCTAGATGTAATATTCGCTAGAGTGTTATTCAGCAGCTGTTGTCTCCCGTTAGTTCTGTTCTTGGCTTGATTATTAGTTCTGTCAAAAAATTGATTCTTCCATGACGTTTTGTTCTGGTTTTGGTTCAAGATTTGACCGAGCAATTGGGTTCTATTAAAGGCGGGTACGTCCCATTGGCTTCTGTTTAAGTCTGCGGTTTGATTACTCACAGGAACAACCCATGTACGATCGCTGCGCTTCGGTCTGTAAAAAATGGTACCATTTCGTCGACTCGAGTTTTTTGATGTAATGTTCGCTAGAGTGTTATTCAGCAGCTGATGTCTCCCGTTAGTTCTGTTCTTGGCTTGATTATTAGTTCTGTCAAAGAATTGATTCTTCCATGACGTTTTGTTCTGGTTTTGGTTCAAGATTTGACCAAGCAGTTGGGTTCTGTTGACAGAAGGGTTCTGTTGGGTTCTATTAAATCCAAAGTCCCACTGGCTTCTGTTAAATCGTGGTAAGTTCCACCCAGGTCTGTTGATCACCGGTGTGTCCACTGGAGCTGTTGCGTTCCATTGGGTACTGTTCTGAGCTTCACTTTTAACAATGAAGGCCACTAGAGCAACAATTAATAAAAGCACTCTCATTTTTAATCACTCAACTTTCGAATTACTTAACACATTACCTGCGACTCTTTTATATAGAAAGATTTTGCGTTTCCACGATAAGAAAAGCAAACTTGTGGCGTCAGAGAAAACAGCATCATAAATAATTTTTGTTTATACGGGAAAGCTGGCTGTAATTTTCTGTTTGAAATTTTACTCATCACTATTGTTAGGAGTCGCTTGTTGACTTCGCAGATTTAAAAAAAAATACAATTTCATCGAATGATTCACGCCGAATTTAGAAGATCGTGCTCATCATCCAAAGAAAGTAAATAATTCGTCCTATTCAGAAATTGCTCATCATCGTCGCGCTGTATTAACTTGGATGACGAAGGCGCGAATCTTCAGGTAAAAGTGCAATTATCGCCGTTCCGGACCTGTCGTTAAGACAATAAAGTCCAGGCACGTATTACCAAAATGAATGAAGTGACCGAGTTTGATTGTAATTGCGATACCGAACTCGGCAGCCCGTTTACCTACTTAGTTCGAGAGGAGAAATCTCATCTTTTTTTTCGTTGCTTTGGCGGGAAAAATTTCATTAGTTGAGTGAGAGTGGTGGCGTGACCTTTGCGGCGATTTACAGCGATAAAGCTATTATTATATTTTTTTTTTTGGTTTGGCCGAAAGCATGAATTGGATTTTACGTTGAAAATAGTATACATCGCGTGCTGTTTTGTTATCTGTACAAGAATTATTTTTGTTTGTGTAAAGCTAAAGCGCTATGTTTCATTAGACTGATAACATTATCGTTTGTTCAACGGCCATCGAGTTGCATCGTGATACTGGCCTTGCATTGGTAGATATCGATGCAATGTTCGAATTTTTATTTATAACGGTCATTCATTCCTTCAAGAACTATATATAATTTTTCGATTTTTAAGTTTCTCATATATACTAAATTTGACAACGATCGGTCCAGTAGTTTCGGAGATATATATAAAAATTGATGAGCCGCAATCCGCCAAATTGAAGGTTATTTCTAATATCTTGGCGTAAAGCCTGGCTTAATTTTTTTGAAGCTTCTTAATCATCAATTAATCTTACCGTTATCACTGGCTTTAAGAACCATACTACATATCTATGTATAGAATCATGAATGAAAATTCCAAAAAACGCACACCTCGTTTTACCTTTTTTTCGAAAAAAAAAAAAAAATACGTTTTTAATTTTGTTGCTGACGTACCATCAATTTGAATTACTCATCCAGGTGCAGGCGAAATATTTTTTGTGTCATAAACAGACTTCGTCATGAATAATGGAACGTAGCCAAGTTAAATTGGACATAACGCTCTAGACAACTCGGAATAGACACAAAGAACTACCACCTTTGTTACGTGCATCCAAATCATGTTATAAAATTAAAACATATCACGTCTACGCAGTTTTACGGTAGCTGTTATATCGGCGGATTAGCTGCTTTAAAGTGCAACTTGCGCTCTTTACAATCTGTTAAGTCGTCAGATAGATCATATCAATATTTATAGACAAGTAGTTAATTTTTATTTCGCCTGGATTATAGTTATTTTTTAATTTATCGTTTTAGTTGTCATTCAACAAATTTAGACTTTACAGGTCGTTACGATGTTTATTTATCGTTTTTTTTAATTGAAGGGTTCGAGACTGCCAACATTTTGGCGTGAATTTAACATTTGAGAAATTTTGTAACTAAGCATTCCACCGTTGTGACATATGTCACTGGAATACCTAGCTCAATGCAGTCAATTGGCAACTATTAATCCTGATAGTGCCAACCTTGTTTACGAAACGCGTCGGGATTTTATGTGAAGATTTTTATTTTTGTTGCTGACAAGTAAACATGTGAATTCCATAATTGTGTAACTCGTATTCGTGCTTCCATTTTAGTTTCACCAGACTTCAGATTAATTTTTAAAATTTTATATTTTTGTACTTGAAAATATTTTGATAATTTTGCTTCTTTCGTAATATTATAAGAATGTTTGTTATTAGTGTGGATTACGTAAAGATTGATATCACTGTTATCAGTCTCTACTTTAATTCATATATCTATTTGGGGAAAAGGTTGATCTAGCACAAACTTTACAACGTATTTTAATTGCCCGTCAGGGATTTTTTTTGTTATTTTTGGTTTTGTATTTGTCATTGGTGTTTTATTAAATTGTAGTTGGGTTGAAAATATTGAAACATTTTCCATAAAATAGTAATTAATTACATTTACTTTTTAATGAAGTATGGTTTTCAGCTAAAATAAATTCGTATGGCGATCGTTGTTATGTACAATAAATACGTACGTAAAAATAAGTTTAATGTCAAATGAAATAAATGACTTAAGTAACTATTTGGTCATTACGATGTTGTATAACGATTCGTCACTTCGTGTTTCCGGTTTATTGATTTTCTTTTAATTTCTGTAAACAGTAAAAACATACCAACTTTGCTTTTCCATGTATGCGCACACGACGGTAATTACGCTTGATAAGTATAATTAAGTATAAAGAAGTTTTTTAAAGACATTTATTGTGCTGCTGTATGAAAATTACTAAATACTACTTGGCTTATTGATAGTTATTTATGGAATGGGTCCGTGAAGTTCACTTTATTGTCACGAATGTAGTGAATGAACAAATTAATATTCAAAAACAACGAACGAAAGTCTGGAATTGGTTAAGATTCACTGCGACGGTCGACACACTCTCCCCCTTCGCGCGAACCCGATTAAACCAACTTTCAAATAAAAAAGGCAGACACAGAGACAAACAACGACTTTTCAGTTAAAAAAGTGAACTGAATGTAATAAAGTACACATATAATGTTATATTTTTATATATATTAAATATAGTCATTCATCATATTACTAGCACGCGCCGAGCCATCGACCGCTTCCGAAACGTTCCTCCTAAATTAGTAGAAAATATTATGTATGCAATGTGGATTTCTTTACGAAAATGCAAAATTTTGAGGTTATGTCATCAAAATTTGGTGGGGGTGACCGAAATTTTGGTCAATGGTTTACCACATAGATACGCGATACTCCTAACTTACATCTAAAATTTGGTCCGATAGTTTCGGAAATTACCTTATTAGCATAATCGACAAACAGACGGGCGAAAACGGGGACCTATTTTTTCATAATCTGGTGGTCATGGAACGTCGAGAAAACATGAAAGTGGCAGTCTCCGGTTGTAATATTTCCTTATTTTACCACTAAAATTTTATTAACAACATTTGTGTGCAATGACTAATTTATAACTGTCAATTTAATTTCGCTAAATTTATTTTATCTTGACTGTGCTGTGGTTTATTACACAAGAATATGTTGTTTATCCGAATTGTTCGTGGGCTAAGCATTCATGTTAATGTTCCCGAAAGTATCTTAAAAAAAGACACAAATGGTCCTCAAGATTCTTTTACGTCCTATAAAAAAAGAAATTTTCATATTCTTTTAAAAAAAATCACGAAAGTTCCCCAATATTCTTTCTTTTTCTTAAAAGAAAGACACCAGAGGTTTTCAAGATTCTTCTACATTATTAAAAAAAAATGAGACAAGGGTCCCCAAGATTTTTCAACTCCTTCAAAAACAAAACATATAGCTTCCAAAGGTCTTTCACATCTTTTAAATAAAAGACACAAGGAGTCCCCGAGATTCTTTCACTTTCTAAACAAAAGATACAATAGATGCTCAAGATTCTTTCACATTCTACAAATAAAAAACAATAGGCTTTTTTTCTTAAAAAAAGACAAGAAGTCCTCAAGATGCTTTCACATTCTAAGAAAAGACCCAAGGGATTCCAAAGATTGTTTCAAACTCATTCAAAAATAAAACGTAAAGAGCATCCAAGATTCTTTCATATCCTTTAAATAAAAGACACAAGAAGTCCCCGAGATTTTTTCACTTTCTAAAAAAAGGCACAAGAATCGCCGAGATTCTTTCACTTTCTAAGAAAAGACATAATGGTCACCAAGATTTTGTCACATTCTTAAAAAAAAGACACCAGGCGTCCCGAGATTCTGTTACTACCTAAAAAAAAAACAGAAGAATTCCTTAAAATTCTTTCACATCTTTTAAATAAAAGACACAAGGGCTCCTCGAGAGTCTTTCACTTTCTGAATAAAAGACACAAAAAGTCCTGAAGATGGTTTCATATTCTATAAATAAAAAACACTTGGAGTTCCAAGATTCTTTCACTCTCTTAAAAAAAGACACTAAAGCCCCAAGATTCTCTCACTTAAAAAAAGAAAGACACAAAAGGATCCTCAAGATTTTTTCACATTCTAAAAAAAGACATTGAAAGTTCCGAAATTCTTTCATTTTCTTCAAAAAGACACAAGGGATCCTCAAGATTCTATCACATTTTATAAAAAGAGACACTTGGGACCCAGAGATTTTTCACATTCTTTAAAATAGACACTAAGGGGCCCCAAGAGTCTTCAACTTAAAAAAAGAAAGACACAAAAGGATCCTCAAGATTTTTTCACATTCTAGAAAAAGACATTGGAAGTTCCGAATTATTTCATTTTCTTGAAAAAAAGACACAAGGGATCTTTAAGAGATTCTATCACATTTTAGGGACCCAGAGATTTTTTCACATTCTTAAAAAAAGACACAAAATGTCTCAGAGATTCTCTCACTTTCTTAAATGCACCAGGGTGATTCAAGATTCTTCCACATTCTTAAAAAAAGCTCCAAGGGACCCTCAAGATTGTTTCACACTTTTTCACAAACAAAACGTAAAGAGCTTCCAAGATTTTTTCATATCCTTTAAATCAAAGACACAAGAAGTCCCCGAGATTCTTTCACTTTCTAAAAAAAAGGCACAAGGATCGCCAAGTTTCTTTCACTTTCTAAAAAAGACAACGGTCTCAAGAGGCTTTCACTTAAAAAAAGAAAGACACAAAAGGATCCTCAAGATTTTTTCACATTCTAGAAAAAAAACATTGGAAGTTTCTTCAAAAAAGATACAAGGGATCTTCAAGATTCTATCACTTTTAATAAAAAGAGACATTAGGGACCCAAAGGTCTTTCACATCCTTTAAATAAAAGACAC